AACTAGTACTACTACTACTTCTACTACGACTACCACCACTACTACCACTACAACGACTACTACTGCAACTACTACTGCGACTGGTACGACTACGACTACTACTACCGCTACTGCTACTACTACTACTGCGGCTACGGCAACTATTACTACTACTACTACTACTACTACTACTACTACTACTACTACTACTACTACTACGACAACGGCGGCTACTACTACTACTACTACTACTACTACTACTACTACTACTACTACTACTACTACTACTACTACTACTACTACTACTACTACTACTACTACTACTACGTCTACAAAGATTACTCATTGACGTTTCTGGCGCGTCACCTGCTTCTGGGTGGCCACCATCGCTGTCTAAAGGGCGCCCTTTGGAGTGGTTGGCTGGTGCTTCCTGGTGCTTTGGTAGTGCCAAAAACTGCTACAGAATCCCCCCTCTCATCATGCCTCTCTGGGGGCTCTCTGGTGCCTCCCATGGTCCTCTTGGGGGCTCCTGGGGCCGCCCGCTCCCCAGGGGGAAGGGTGGAGGGCCGAAAAACCCAAAAAAACACAAGGACAAACAAAAAAAAAAAAACAAAAAACAAAAAAAAATCCGGAGGAATTCCTCGGAGGGGGTGGGGAGGGCGAAAAGTTCGCCAGGATTGTTTTGTTTGTTTTTTTTGTTTTTTTTTGGTTTTTCCTGTGTTTTTGGACTTTCGCCCCCCGAGCATGCGGGATTCGCTTCATGGGGCCGCGGCCTCCCCCCATGAAGCGAATGATTGGACTCCTCAGGGAGGGAGGGGCAGAGGGGGGGGAAGTCCCCCAGGAAGGGGGTATCGGGGTCAAATCAAAGGGGGGGGGGCGGTACTACTACTACTACTACTACTACTACTACTACTACTACTACTACTACTACTACTACTACTACTACTACTACTACTACTACTACTACTACTAGTCGTCTTGGATTTGCTTTCTCGCCACATCCGGAACCCCCAGTGCCGAAAAGCTAAAGATTAACGCGCCGCTGCCAAGGGGCAATGTCACAAAGCACTAACGAATAAAATTCCCGACGCCGTCATTGCAAGAATTCCCAGAGAACCCGGGCCGCCGCTTTCCCTTCGCAATGGCTGGACGCACACCTGTCGAGCTCGCCAAAGGTGACCGCTGCGACACTCTCTTCCGGACTGCCCCCTTCCACCTGCGATTGAGGCGGACCCCCCCCTCTGGAATCGCAACTGAACCAGAGGATGCCTGCCCGATAACACGCCGACCACGTGGAAGCGGCCGCCAAAGTGTAAGACGCTGAACACCAGCCACACAAGCAAATTGCAACGCCCCCCCCCCCCCCCCAAAGGAAATCATTCTCTTCCAAAGGTTTTTTGATCGGCATCCACCCCAACTCGGAAAACTAGCAAAGCTGACTCGGACTTCAGAAACTAGCAATGCTGGTTGAGAGCTCGCTGGTCCAGAGAAAGGCCCCACTCCTACCCGCCGGCGCCTGCAAAGCGACCACCCGGATTGCACAGCCTGATTCCCCCCGCAACGCAATTCTATGACATGCGATCCAACAGAAAATGTGTTGCAATGCCAGCGCGATGCTAAGCCTCAATAGTGCACTGCGCTTTGCTATGATCGGCCCTCGGCCGATTCTCTCGACGAGCCCGACGAACTCATATACGGCATCTACGCGACCAAAAAAAACTCTTACTACATACTTGAAACCAATCTCCCTTTCATGAGTCGCGGCGGATAACCGCAAAGCGTTTGCAGGGGAGGAGCAGACACCGCGGGCTCTTCGGTCGCAGCCTCGACACCGCTGTCGCTGTCGCTGTAAAGGATTCCTCCGCGGCCTCCTCCTCTCGACAGCGCCAGAACTACTGCGCTCCCCCGACCGCGAGCCCTTCCTGTCGCAGGCGCTCGAGCACCTGCCCGAGCCCGGCCCCTGCCGCGACCTCGCCCTGCGGCTTGCGACGAGGCGGCTACATCGCCCTGGCCGCAAGAAGTCCTCTTTTGGCCCCCCTCCATGCTCGAGCAACGAGTGTCCGACGAGAAACATTGTGTACAAACGCACAACCAACAGGAACATGCAAATAATGCAATTGGCGATGCACACGCAGTTCAATAATGATGCGAGGTCATGGGATATCTAACAATACTAACGTATACACAAATCCCACCAGCTTTCTAGACATGGGTGATCTGATGAACTCTTGTAATCTCTCTTCCAAAGCTCCTCGACCCCCTGCTCGAGAGAAAGGTTTACCCTCTCCCACTACCCCTCCCCTGAACCTGCAAGCGGAGAACGCCTGAGACGCTAGAGCACGCAAGATGGCCCAAGATGGCTCCAAGAGCACCCCAGAGAGCCCAATATAAACTCCAATACTGCCCAAGATACCTGGACATGGCTCAAGATACCCTCCGACATAACTGCAAGAACCTTCAAAACATATCCAAGACACTCCTTGATCAAGACGACTCGCCGGGCGAATCTGTTTCTGGATGAGCTGGTGTGGAGACGCGGAGCGTCCAGAATTCACCCTTGCCTGTTATCAACGAAACCGCGAGCAGACAACAACGAGTGCCAACGCTCGTCGAGAAAGCATATTCACAGCACGGGACGCAAACCCATGCCGATCTTGCAATTTGCACTGCCCTCAAAGAACTCCACACACTACAGACATGCCAAAACGTACTACTCCCGCAACGTCGCTTAGCAACATTGCAATTGTTTCTGATGCGGTACGCATGGGCGCCACACCGGTAAATGTCAAATTCCCCATACAGAGCGACCGAACAATAACATCCACAAGCGGCAACGCGGCAACGAAAATGTCACGAATTTCGGCCCTCTAAAAAATGAAGAACATCAACGCGTTCGACGCGCAATCATCACATGGCCCCGACAACGCAATGGAGCAGCACGCAGTTTCCAGAACAAGTTAGAGGATCTACCACAGCGGCAACACGCAGCGAGCATGCCACAAGTCACGCCTCTCCAAACTCGCAACGAACATGCCACAAGTCACGGCTCTCCAAACTCTGAGCGGCAACGCGCTAGCGAGCAGCGATGAAAGCAAGAAGCAGCCATGATCCGCGACCCCAGATGTGCAATCAGTTAAATTGCTTCCACGAAGCAGGATGCGCAATCATCATCGCGCTAAGAATCACTACCATGCACTTATAGTAGAACACAGCCTGCCGACAACCGAAGAAACATAACGAGAATGTCCTATCCTCTTCCTCCTCCTCCTCCTGCTCCTCCTCCGCCTCTTCCCCCGACCCCCGCATCCCGCGCGCGGCGCGCGCGGGGCGCGGGTGGAGGCACGAGCGGACCCGACATCTAAAACTACGCCCTGTGAAAGACGAGCCCGCCCCACAGGAAGAGGACTTCCACATCAAAAGGAGAAGCAGGACGCAGACGATAAGAAAACGGCCCCGGGATCCGACGGACGCCAGAAAGCCCACCCGCAGAGCGTGCCCTTAGACTTCGGATCCGCTGTATAGCATTGCTCCTCCGCATCCTCCTTCTAGCTTTTCCCTTCTTACTTTCATACTATGTACCTGCATTCACGCCCCCTGCAGAGCATACAAAATAACGCATGCTGAAAACCGCGCGCTCTTCCAGCATTCCCCCTCAAGGAGCTGGAAAGGTTGCAACAGCCGGTTCGGAAAGTGCTGGAGCCGTTTGGGAAGTCATGAGCCGGGGAGCATTGCCCCACCAACCCAGATGAAACCACGCGGTTGCGTCGAGGCCCCCGGCACAAGAAGCTATAGCGCAGGTGGACAGAGCACGCAGGAGGAGGGATGAGGATAAAGAAACGAAGAAGGAAGGAGGAAGGAACGAGGCAGCAGGAAGGGAAGGAGGACCAGTGATTTGTTGACAATGAAAACCCTTCTGATACTATTCAGCTGAGGCCTCCCGAGCCTCCTCAGGTCCCCAAGCAGCCTCAGAGAGCCCAAACGGAGCGTCACGACAACCCAAGAGATCGTCGAAACGGCCCACGGCACCCCCGAGCTAGCCGGCGAGACCCCCAAAACCCTGAGACCATGAGGCCTAAAGAAAAGTAGACCATAAAACCTAAAACTTTCGAGTCCACGCACCTCATGCAATTTGACACCGGTGCACTAAAACCTTAGGTCCCTGACGCCCTTATCCCCCGCCATGCCCCCTGGCACGTAGAAGCGCGCTGGAATGCCAAATGCTGCCTGGCGAGCTATCGGTACATCTTGCAAGAGACCCCCCCCCTACTCACACCTGCTCCCATGCATCGCGCCCCTCTTCCCGAGACTTTGTCCGCGCTCAGATATGTCGCCGGCGCTCTCTAAGGCGCGCGAGGTGCCCAAGATGCTCTCCAAAACGAAATTGGAGACCATCGAAATCGCCAGGATAGCCAAATATATTTCCAAGACGGCCCAAGAGACACAAATGCAACGCCAATCGCTCTCCAAGAAGACCCCAAAGAGAGCCAAAAGAGACAGCGCTCTTTGATTATTGTGCGATTTTCTTTTCAAATGGTTTGGAGATTATTGCCTATTCGATCTTCCAACGCTCAAATACGGCACCGATTGCTCCCAAAACCGCCCCAAGAGAATCCCAAACAATCAAAAAGGCGCCCACGCACACACCAAAACAGCTCCAAATCGGCCCCAACAGAACCCCAGGAGGAAAAAACACCAATCGATAATTGAAGCCTTCCTTCCGCCCGAAGAGCCCCCAAGACGCCCCAATATGCTTCGAAAAATATGCACCCGAAATGCCCCAATGATCCCCCCGGGCGACCCCAAATAGGCCTCATAACCCCTTCGAACACACCCGAAAACTTCCAACGATATCCAAACAACCACCAACATCATCATCACCATCATCATTATCTTCATCCGCATCATCATCACCATCATCTTTAGCAGCATCCGCATCATCACCATCATCACCATCAGCATTATCACCATCATCACCATCATCATTATCATTATCATCACTATCATCATTACTATCATCACCATGGGTCTTGTGCGGGTGAGAAAGTCAAACGCTGCTCTTGGGAGCAGGAGATTGAAGCCAACGCAGCGATTATGATTGGATCCCTGATGTTTTCAGTGCTGGTGCCAGGCCCCAAGTAAGTGTCAGGGCAAGGAAGCAAGTAGGCGCAAACGACGCCAAGCAAGCTCACGAAGATGACGCCCGGGACCGTTTGCTGCGCTCTGCTCCCGTGGACGCCCCGTGCGACCTTGGCCGCCCTTTGCCCCCAGCTCGGCTCAACGAGCTGGTCCGGTGAAGGCGCTGCCGCTCAGCAGCCGTCATGGCTCTCGTCTTGAATTGCGTCCTTTTGCGACGCGGAAGTGGGCGGCCAAACTCTGCTGCATCCTCTGCCCAAATTAGCCCGGTGTCGCTGGGAACATGTTCACCCTTTTTGGGCCACCGCACCCACCTGGGGAAGTTCTCGCAACAGAACGCTTTGCCCGCCTTCTTCGCAATTGCGTGCGCTTCCGCGGTGGAGTGGCAACAGATATCTTTTTATGTTTATTCCTGAATTTGGCGCCCCGGTATCCCTTATCTGCCGTAAAAAATGTCAACCGCTCGATGCTGCCATCTGCCTCGAGCGCTCTGCAAGTGCGCTCGATGTCATCTGTGATCTGATGCCGCGAAAAACGCGCCAAATCGTGCGTCGCGAAAGCACCAATCCGCCACCGCGCCACTTGGCCGGCATCATCATCGCCAGCATCATCATCATCATCATCATCATCACCATCATCATCGTCATCATCAGTATCATCATCATCAATATCACCATCATCATCATCATCAGCATCGTAGTCGCCATCGCCATCATGGTCATCATCAGCATCGTCATCATCGTCGTACCCGTCATCATAACCATCGTCAGCAGCAGCACCAGCAGCAGCGTCATAATCAGTATAATCACCTCCTCCTCCTCCTCATCCTCCTCCTCTGCCTCCTCCTCATCATCATCCTCGTCGTCCTCCCGCTCAGCACCATCATCATCAGCAGTATCATCATCATCTTCATCTTCATCATCATCATCATCACCATCATCATCATCATCATCATCAGTATCATCATCATCAGCATCATCATCATAATCAGCATCAAATCATCATCGTCATTATCATCATCGTCCAAGGCCCTAAGGCACCCACTCTCCGAACCCACAATCCCAGAGGCCCGAGAACAACGAGAAAAAGCAATCCTTAAACTAATACTAATGATAATATTGAACAAATACCCTAATGCTCTGGGACCGCAATACTCCAAGACAATAGTGCAATAAACCGCATGCAATAAAACTCCAAGGGGCCTGCACATTAAAAGCCAAGCTTCAGAAGCCCGAAAGCTTAACACACCCAAACACCCAACACTTTGAACGCTACAGCCCCCATGCGCGTGACAAGCCCTATACCCGAGAACCATGGAACATGCGCGCACCCCCAACCCGATCACATAAAACCGCCCACAGAGACGTCGAAATTCGTAACATTTTTGTTGCGCGTTGACCTTTTGTGCAATTTGTGCTCTCCAAGGTGAGCTCGGAAAACCTTGCGCATGCTCGGACATTTTCCGAATTCAAGGATCGCCCAGAAGGTATAGCGTTCACCGATAGTAAAAAATATGTTCCCTCCCCCTCTCCTCCTCCCCCGCCTCCTCCTCCTCCTCCTCGTCCTCCTCCTCCATTTCCCCCTATTCACCCTGTTCCTGTTCCTCCCCACCCACAGCCGGCAGAAAAAATAGAGAGCGCCACCCGCAGAGACATAATCTGAATTAATTTCGGCGAGCATTTTGACAACGTCGTAACACCGAAATTCGTGACATTTTCGTTGCGTGTTGACCTGTTGTGCAATTTATACTCTCCAATCTGGGCTCGCGCACCCCTGCGCGTGCCCAGGCATTTTTTCCAACCCAGGATCGCCCACAAGGTGCGGCAGTCAACGATGGTAAAAATATTTCTCTTGCTCTCAACTTTGTCCTCCTTATTGTCCTTCTCATAATCATCCTCGTTACCCTCCTCCTCCGCCTCCCCCTCCTCCTCCTCCTCCTCCTCCTCCTCCTCCTCCTCTCCTCCTCCTCCTCCTCCTCCTCCTATTCACCCTTTTCCTGTTCCTCCCCGCCCACAGCCGGCGGAAAAATTGCGGAGCGCCGCCCACAGAGACGTGATCTGAATTAGTTTCGGCGAGCATTTTGACAACATCGTGACACCGAAATGCATGACATGTTCGTTGCGTGTTGACCTGTTGTGCAATTTGCACTCTCCAAACTAAGCTCGGAAACCCTTGCGCGCGCCCAGTGCGAACCCGCAGTCCCGCATTACCGCCCAGAGGGTGAGAACACACAACGCAACTTTTCAAAGAAAAGCCACAATACATGATGCCTACTACCGAAGCACTTAAAACCGATTCGTCCTCCCCATCTCCTGGTTATAATAATTATCATTACGTCTCTCCTCCTCCTTCTACTCCCCTCCTTTTCCTTATTGCCTTCCTCCTTCGCCCCCTTCCAATCGCGATGAACCATTGCAGAACCTACCCATGATCAAACGAAGTCTCCGCCAGTCCACGTAGAACTGTGACGCGGTTTATTTTCTCCCAATTGAGAGCGAGACTCTTCTGCGGCCTGTTGGCCCCAAGACGATATTGTTGTAAGATCCCAAGGTGCCAGGTACCTCGGATTCCCACAGCGGAGATAGCCGCAGGCCATATGATAAAAGAGCCACGAACGAGACCGACAGATGAACGAGTCTCGCACTGGTCTGTGGACTTCTCAGCCGCCCTCCGAAACTGCACTGGTAGATGCCGATTCCCGAGCCCATGCAGATTAGCATTTCGAGCAACTAGAGCCGCACGAAATCCACCAACGCATGCGTAGCACAAAGCGGCTGTGAGCACACGACCGACGACCCACGACCAACGACCGACGACCGACGACGACGACGACGACGACGACGACGACGGACGACGACGACGACGACGATCGAGAACGACCCACCACGACCGACGACGACCGATGACGACCGACGACGACGACGACGACGACGACGACGAACGACGACGACAGCGACGACGACGACGACGACGACGAGGAAAGCGAGGGACTGCAGCGCCCTGCCCCGACCGAGAAGCCCCGTTTCCCCTCTCCGACCTCCGGAACGCCAAAGGCTACTGAATACTGCCGCATTGTCAATAACATTGCGGAGCTCTTTGGTGGACAAATCGTAAAACCGAATGCTTCTGATATTATCATCAAACCTCACATACCTTGCCCACTTGGGGCAAACGAAATCTATAAAGCAATCGACGTTGTTAGCACCAGATGGCCCCCTCAGAATCTTGGACGCCCAAACGGTGCCCGCGAGCTCGGATCTATATTTCCCCTCTGCGAAGTCTGTGTCATCGTCGGTGCAAACAATAAATGCTTTTGAAATCCAAGCAGCAGTATACACGGATTCCAAGATCAATAACGTCTTCGTGATGATTTCGGCCGCACGCCCGAAAGTGCGAACAAAAGTGAATGGAGCCGAGCCGCCACTCTGCTGCCGCACGCGGCGGCGAGCAGCCGCTAACATGTTTTTTTATTTTTTTTCTCAGCCGTATTCGGTCCAGCCTCTGCCCAGGGCATCTGCCTGCGAGCAGGCATAGCTCCCTACAAGTATACCTTGACGAAGTTTCAATTCAACGTGAAACCTCGAGCCAAAACTAAGACAGTACGAGAAGCCTCTGGAAAAGACAACACAGAAACAATTAAAAGGCTCCACCCACAAGATACCCCTAAGAGAAACCCACAGGACTCCAAATACTGCAACGGAACCCCAAAGTATCGTCAGAAGACCCTCCGGCACTTCCCTGAGAGAGATCCGCAAACATCTTTTTTTTCGGCAACGATGAACCCACGGACCGACGCCGACTATTGGATAGAGACTGGGGAGTCGGCAGGCTGTCCTGCCGCAGGACCGTCCTCGCCCTTTCCTCCTGGGTGAAAAGAAGCCACTGGCACAAACGGAGCCAACACAGCAAGCAAGCGGCCGCCGCTGCTTAGGAGAACGCACGCGCAACAAAATGTGGCTATTTTCCCGCCGGCAGGGGGGGCAGAGAAGCGGGGAGAGCGAGGACGAGGAGGAGACGAGGGGGCGAGGGCGTTGTGCGGACATCCCAGCGGCCCGAACGGCCACGTATAAAATTCAAAAGCGCACAACGCCATTCTGGAGGAAATGCGGGAGGGGGAAGAGGGGGGAACGACGACGAGAAAGAGAGGAGGACAAACGGACAGAACGAGCGCCCACACGTCCAGCGTGGAAGTCGCAAGGCGGCAGCCGCCAGCGAGCCAGTGCCAGAACAGCGCGGCGCGATCGAAGTTGAAAGCAAGTATAAAAGGATGCTGCGCTCCGCAGCCGATCGCATGAGCTAGAACTCGCACCCACCTGCAAGCCTAGCTCCGACAAAACCGCCCGCCGACCCCCGAGGCCGGCCCAGGAAGTCCCCGGGAGGGCCCCAAAAAGGCGCCAAAAGGAACCCAGAGAGGCAACAAAAAACAACACACAGCCCACACAACAACCTCCCCAACAAGGAGAAGGACGGTGCAAAATGCGCGCTGATTTGTTTAGCCACCCCGGGTGCCAGCTGGAGCCCGGTGGAGGCCCTCAGGGGGCCACCTGGGGGCACGGAGGAGGAGGGGGAGAAGGAGGAGGAGGAGAGAGAACAAAGAGAGTGTAGGCAATAGGCTACCTCGCCCCTTCGCGGAGAAACCTATTGTACGCCCCCGAGAACTCGGAGGGGGAAAACTGATGATGCCGGATGCCGCTATGGAGCCTGAAGAGGGCGTAGACAGAGAGAGAGAGAGAGCGCGCTGCAGGAGAAGGGCATATCCTCCCATCGCTTGCGAGCCGCTGCTCGGAGGCATGCAGAAGAAGTAATCCAGGGCCCACTCCGGAGCCGGAGTTGGCCCACCGAATTGGGATGCAGTCAGCCTTCGAATTGTCGGGCAGCGTGCAAAATGTGCTAGGCTGTCGTCGCCGACGCCGCAGGCGAATGAGCAGGGACCGCGACTCTGAGACCGACGCCGCGTGCACCACCCGTCGCACAGGGTGCGCAAATAGGCGGCTTGGACTCGGGGCGCCGCGCTCCGCCCCAGAACTCGAAAAGTTATCAGCGCGCGCTCCACGCGACGGCCTGGGAAGGTCCGTAGCGGCCACCTTTCGAGCCGACGGCGAAGGTGGACATAGGCAGCTCTGGGCGGGGTCGCTCTGAAGAGACTCGTCACCCTGCCCTGCCAGCCGCGCCGCACGCTCAAGTCTAGGCCACCCCCTGCGGGGAGGAGAGCAACTCGTCGCTGGAAACCGCTGTCGGCGGCGGCTAGCTTGAACAAGAAACAGTTTTGGGCCCATGACTGCCACCATCCAGCATGAGCTAAGGAACAGGCAGGACTGGCCAGAAGATCCCGCAAGCGCGATGCACGTTCCTGCACGCGTAGGCCGCCGTAGGCTGCATTTTCAAATCGCACCACGCGGGCCTTCGCAGCTGCAGCAGTGGCGACAATATCCGGCAGCTCGCTGGGAAAACTGAGAGATCGCAAATCCCGAAGGCAGGGTGAAACCATCCAGCTCGTCGGACCTGGCAGCAAAAGTTGGCATGCCCTCTGTTCGTGGACGAAGAAATCAGGAGGGAGGTCCTCCAGCTGACCAACAAACTGGAGCACAGAGCTGATGTACACTCGGCACGCCTGCAGAGATAAGAAAAATCCCAGGCCGAGGCGCCCCCAAAGTCTCGCCCGATCTATGTACTTTCTCAGCGGAGCCTGCCAGGAGCTGGCGGCCCTCCCCGGGCCCACCATAAAACCAAGATATTTCGCAGCCCCCGCAATCCGGACGGAGCCCCAATCAGGAGCCTGGCGGGCCACCTCGCCCCTAACATCCTGCTCTTGGTATCGGAACAGCGGTGCAATGACCGTCTTCCGCACGTTGAGGTGGAGTCCGGAAACCAAAGCAAAATCTATGAAAAACTACTGGAGACAGCGGAGGCGATTGCAACCCTCCCCAACAACCATGGCCAAGTCGTCAGCCCATGCCCGCGTGCACGCGGAAGGGGATGCCCTCCGTAGCCTGCGCAGCATGAGGTCCGTGGCCATGGCGAACAAAAGAGGAGAGAGGGGACATCCCTGACGGATGCCCCGCGTCAGTGAGAAGCCGCGGTATCGGGCTCCGCCCAGGTTGATGGAGCAGAAATTGCATTGGTACAGTATGCCGATGGCTCGGGGGAGCCATGGGGGCCAGCCCAGCGAAGCAAAAAACTTATGGAAAAAACTATGTTCAATTGAAGGGAAGGCGGCCGCAAAATCATAAAAGAGAGCGAGGCCTTCCTCCCCTTCTGCGGCTACTTGGGCCATCGCCTCGTCGACGTCTAGAAGGTTCGCAATCATCGAACGTCCTGGCAGGAACCCGCGCTGGTCCGAAATAATGAGCGGCTCGATCGCGGGCTCCAGCACCAGGCGAATTGCACTGGCGAAGAGGCGATTGTCGCAGTTCGTCACGTTAAGCGGGCGAACGCCGCTCGCAGGGAAGGCCGCGGCCTCACCCCCCGAGTGGCCCTCCAGAGCCTTGGGGAGGAAGAAGAGGAGGCTCTCGTTGAAGTCGCGGCGCTCCCGGTCGGCGGCGTCATCGACCAACCACTCCTCGAGGCGATCCTGCCGAACGCCGCGTTCCCGGAAAATCTCTGCCCAATGCCGCCGAAGCACGCTCGCCATCTCGGCCGCCCCTGTCGCAACGTTGCCGCGCTCGTCGACGATGGCCCCAATGCCAGAGCTGCGACCGGGCGCCAACTTGTGCAGCAAGCGCGTGCCTCGCTGCCTCTTCCGCTTCACCTGGAGCGCGTCTCCCTCCGCAGCGTCGTCCTGAGCCTCCAGGAGCAGACCCAATGCGGCCTCCCGGGCGAGTTCCACTGCATGGTCACGGAGAGCACGGAGGGAGGTCGTCAAGTTGCCCTGGAGGTCGTAGGGGTTCGCCACAAAGGAGGATATGCGAGGGTACCGCAGCAGGCAGTGCGAGATGTCCGTGAGGAAACCCAGCTCCGACGCCCGGATGAATCTCATGACCACCCCGAGCTTGTCCTCAGCCTTCTCCGCCAATGGGAGGCCCACAGTGGGGGCGCCGAAGTTTTCGGCCACCCCCCGCATTGCTTCCTTCAGGAGGGGCAGCTGCTCCAACCTGGATGCTCCTGGGTGAGCGACGAGCAGCTCCTGGAAGGCTAAAGCGCAGCGGCGAGGGAAATCGGGATGCATGTACCCTGGCAACAGGCCGCCTCGCCGCATCAAGTCTGACTGGGATGCGCTGGGCCGCCAGGACGGCCCGATGCGCCGATAAGTCGCGCCTCCATTCCAAAGCCACCACTTGTAACTCACGGTCGATCTGTTCCGAGGCGTGGTGATTGAGATACAGGCGATCAAGCCGCGAGGAGGCCGTGGCACACACGTGCGTCATCTCCGGCTGGAAGAGCTCCTCGAGCCCGTGCCGCTGACCGATTGAAAGCCGGAAGTTCCTCTCCTCCCCGTCGTCGCGGCCGCCCGTAGGCTGCAGCGTGGCCACGCACCGGCGGTCTGTCTTAAGAGCCGCCCAGTTGAAGTCCCCGCCCAGGAGCGTGAGCACCCTATGCTGAGGTTGGATGGCCCTGGCCAGTCGCGTCCGCATGTGCTCCCGGAGGCGCGGGAAAGTCGAGCAGCATTCCATAAAGTTGGGGTGCACCCCAACTTTGTCCAGCTCGGTGACAGTGCTGCCTGTGTGGAAATACGTGACTACGATGTCCAACGCTCCTGCAGCGCCTCGCAGAGAAAAAAATCGCGGCCCGTCCAGGCCAAATAACCCTCCACCGAGGCTCAGCCTGAAACTGGGCCAGAAAGCTGAGCTGCACGATGACGCCGACACCAGCGCTGCTTGGGGGGGGGCCAGCCGACCACCACGTCCGGGTCCCAATGGGAGGCCGCCACGCTCGGTTGCCACCGCCCGCGCCGTGCGCCTCCGTGATCATCAAGATGCATGCCCGCTCCAGCAGCCGGCTCGCGTAGGCAACCTTGGCGCGGAATCGGCCCTCACCGGGGCAGAAGAAGGCCTGGGCGTTCCAAGTGGCCGCGCTGAACTCACCCTGAAACTGCCCTGGCCTGGACATCGCCGGAGATGCCGGACGGACCTGCGGGAGTGCAGCTGGAAGAGAAGTCGTCCTCGGGAGCGACCCCAATGCCCGCAAGAGCCGCTGTCTCCGGTAGAGCGCAATCGGCATGTCCAGGCGCAGGAGAGCGCCCGGATCGCGAGGGAGGATGTCCTCCGCACTGTATGCCAAAGGTGGCAGTACTGGCAGACACCTGGCACTCGAAAAAACTGGGTCAGAAACGCAAGCGTTTAAATTATTCGAATTCGGCGAAATTCTTAAATTTGTAGGGCGAGAGAAGGAAGAAGAGGAGGAAGCGCAACTCACAGGCTGCGGAAGCTCCGAATGACAAACCGGCCGCGTGTCCAGCATGGCCTCCATCTCGTGGCGGAGCTGGCTGCTCGACGCTGTAGGCACAGCGCGGAGAAACCACGCGACCTCGATGAGGAAGCCCGTGGAGCCATCAGCATCCCAATACTGAATTCCACCATGCAAGTGTCCAGAGTACCCTGCGGGGTCATGGAGCCGGTGGGTACTCAGGCCCGGCTCCACTGCCCGTTTCCCGGCACT